CCTCCGATCCTGAGCTACAATGATGGGTGCCTGTGTGCTTGCTCCCCAAGGAAGTTGTCCCAGGATGTTGAAAGGATCCAGAAGGCAAGATTCTCGTGGATGTGGCCGTTGAGGTCTGGAGTCAGAGACATGAGCTGCTGTTGTCCAGGGATGATGGCCACTCTGGGGTGCATCTGGCAGACTGTGGGCGTGGACATCTTCCTTTATTTTTGTTGACCTTGCTTTGCTCTCAGAGACCAAGATGTATACCAGGAACTCCAAGCCAAGCCCATCTGTGGGCAAGGCTCCCTCCGAGTCCGGGAGATCTGTGTCCTAGAGCTAGGGGAACGTCATGCACTGTCCTGGGTCCAGTCCTGGGGAGCTGGGAAAGGGAAGATGACTGGTGACGAGGGAGGGACGCCCACTGGCATGCTGGGGACCTCTGGGGGGGTCAGGCTCGGAAGGCTAATCCCAGGGTGGGTAAAGGTGTCACAGGTATCTGGCGAACTAGGCAGGAGTTGAGGGGAAGACTCAGAAGCTGCAGATCCGCCGTTGGCCTCAGTCAGGTGGGGCCGGTGGCCATGTGTGGAGTGTGGCCACAGTGTGGGCTTTGGAGCCAAAGTGTGGTTCCGCTCTTAACTCTGTGATGCTTATCGGAGGTGGAAGCCTGGCCAAGGTCCTTAACCTTGGGGTGCCTCAGTGCATCCTCTGTGAAAAAAGAAAATGGAAGGCTGAGGAGGAGGCGAGTGACCTCTGAGAGCAAAGCAAGGTCAACAAAAATAAAGGGAGATGTCCACGCCCACAGTCTGCCAATCTCAGGGGTCAGGCAATCTCCATCTCTAAGCATCCGACTTGATCTCAGTTTGAACTGCTCTCAGAGGAGCCTTCCTGACCGTCCCCTCTGAGGACGCCATGTCTTCTCTGCCACTGTTCCTTCTAACCCGGTTCTCTTTCCCACCAGAGCTCTTTCTGGGCCCAACACTACATCTTGCTCTGTGTCCAGTCTTTCGAGGGCTGTGCACCCCACTGGGCTGCCCGAGCCCTGCTGGTCTGTGTGGGTCCTCGCTGCCCTCAGCAGCGCCTTGCATCTTGGGTATTGAAGCCATTAAAGGCTTGTTGATTTTTTTTTCTTGGTAAAAGGGATTGAACCCAGGGGTACTTAACCACTGAGCCACATTCCCAGCCCTTTTTATGTTTTATTTTGAGACAGGGTCTCACTAAGTTACTTAGGGCCTCGTTAAGTTGCTGAGGTTGGCTTTGAACTTGCGATCCTCCTGCCTCAGCTTCCTGAGCCGTGTAAGGCATTTCCTTCTTCAAGGCCTGTTGCTGTGTGTTGCCGGGCCCTACCTGGTTTTGATGGCTTCCCACAGGCGAGGCGTGGCTGGATGTGTAGGAACTGGAATGTCCCAGGAGTCAGACCAACTTGGGTTCAGATCCTTTTTAACCAACTACTAGCTGTGTAATTGAGGGAAAGTTACCTGCTTTCTCTGAGCCTCAGTTTCCTCGCTTGTCAAATGGTTGTAATGCCCAGCTAAAGCCTGGGCACAAAGATGAAAGCTGACACCATGAAAGTAATTAACGTGGTTCCCGGGCCTTGGGCATATACCCTACAATGTGATTGTCATTGTCACTATTCCTAAGGAGACGGCCACTCACCGTCACTGTGGCACTGGTAATGACTTTATCAGAATCTCCCTGCTCCCACCTGCAGAACAGAGTCTCAGTTTAGCTGGGATCACAGAAGAATAAATGTCAGTTGAGAGCTGCCAGGACCGGGGGCCACGTCTCTGCTTTCTGCAGCGTGCAGAGTTAGGAGACAGGAGAGGCTCGTGGGGGGCGGGGGGCTTCACAGGAGGAAAGGACCTCCCTGGCAGGGTCCAGTCCTTGTGGCTCAGGCCTTTGTTACCAACAGGGCAAATTACAATGCAGGTTCTACAGGAGGCACTCCCGGCGAGAGGCAAAGAGGTCAGAAAATTAACACAGGGACATAAAGGAGATTGGGTCCCCAGAGGCCAGGGATCAAAGACTATGGAGGAGGGCTCGGAATGGAGCTCAGTGTAGCGCATTTGCCTATCGTGTGTGAGGCTCTGGGTTCAGTCCCCAGTACTGCGCGCGCGCACACACACACACAAGTATGGTGGAATGTCTGGGGCCAGCTGTATTTGGAGTTTCTTGTGGGCTTTTTGGTTGTTCAGAAAAAGTGATTGGTTTTCCAAAACTGAAAATGACTTTGGTTGGTTGGAGGTTGGTTTTTTGGATGGAGTGGTGTCTGGACACCGAGTGGAGTGTGTATGAGGGACACTGGGTGGAGTGGTTTCTTGCACCACACAGAGTGCTGTGTGGACAGACACTGGATAAAGTGAAATTTCCCGTAATTTGTAGGGAACAAAAGTAAGTTCCCCCTCAATGTGGCCACAGAAAGCCCTTCAGACCCCTGCTGACCCCGGCTGTGCATAGCCATCTTCTACACTCAAAGGGCATGTCCAAGTGGGTGGACTCTCTCCTCCCCAGGAGGAGTTGATTGTGGGAAGAAGTCATGTTTGCAGGGAGGGGAAGCTTTCTGTCTTTAGAGGACACCAAGGTTGTGGTCACAGAGGCTGTTCAAGATTAAGTGACCTTTACTGTGGAATGTGAAAGCGCGTATTTGTCTGTTCTCCACAACCACCCTGTGAAGTAGGCGTGTTACTTCCTCCTCCTGGTATGAGTCATCTGAGGCCCCAAAAGGTTTGAGACTTGCTGAAGAACACATGATAAGGCTTAACAGGGAATTTAACCAGATAGTCTTGCTCCAGAGCCTGTGTTCTTCAATATACTAAGCTCACTTTGGTAGGTGACTACCATCCATTCATCTACCCATCCATTCATGAACCCACCTATATACCCACTTTTGAGCCCATTATCCATCCATCCATCCATCATCCACCTAGCCACCTTTTCATCCCACTGTCCACCCATCTCTTCATTCATCCATCCATCCGTCTGCCCGCCCATCCATCATTCACCCCACCCACCACTCTACCCATTTGGGTGGCTGTTTGTCTGACTTGGTCCTCTGCTTCATCTAGGAAAGGAAGTCTTCCACCTCAGGAGCTGTGCACATGCTTTCAAGAGCTGGAGATCTCCATGCCAGGACATTCTTTAGCTCCCAAGAAATACCTGTGCTTGCTCTCGACACTGCAGTGGCCTTGGAAATGCTGCTGTCACAGGCAGGCCAGGCTCATGGTTCACTTTCCTCCTCTGTCAAGCCGCAGAGGGTCTCCCCCTTACAGTGTTCTCAAAATAAGCAAAACTGCAAATTCTTCCAGAAACACTCTGAGCTTTCTGAAGCATTATTACAAAGAAATACTCAACCGACTCCATTCCTTGACCCACAGGTTGGAAGTTGAATGAATTGGGTATGATTTTACTTTTAAAAACTGTTATAGAGTTCATGTGTTACATCTAAAAATTGTGCAATAAATCTAAAACAGATGCTAACAGAGCATTTTACAAGGAGAGAAACTTTTATAGATATAGGCCAATTTAAGTGGAGATAAATCAATTAAGGAAACAATTACAGTCGTGAGAGGCAGTGCTGGGGAGAGGAAGCTCGGCCTCGATGTTTCCATATTTATTAAGTGCAAAACAGTAAAAGCTTTTTAATTATTCTGCATAGCCTGTGCTGTACAGAAACCACTGGTGAGGCAAGGCCACTTCATGGCAATTCCAACGTGCAAACAGACAGTCACATCATGACCCCTGTGCACCTACTACTCGCCTCCACCAACCACAACATTGCTGAACCGCTCCCTCTGTGATATTTTCTTTTCCTGAGTTTCAAGGGCCTTTTCCTTACTTGTTACTTAATTGCATCAAAATTCCATTCTTTAAAGGTATATTATATGGACATTGAAATACACTATTGAATATGATTATTTGCTTTCTCATATAAATTTAGCATTTTGGGGTTAGAACATGGGGAGTTTTCCACATTTTTTTTTTTTAATTTAAAAAGTTCCAAATCTGTAGCAGGTTGAAAGAATAGTAAATGAGCTCTCAGATACCCTATGCAGGGCTGTATTAGCTATGGCATTAGACTGGCCTTTCCCTTGGAGTGTTCGTCCGTGGGATGGCAGAAGAGGTTCTTTGAAGACTTGTAGATTGTCCCATGTGGCTTAGAACCCCCTCCACCACATCACCACTGTGCCTCGAAGGCGGCTGTGCATCCCAGGCAGGTTGCCTCAGTCTCCTCATCTGTCCAGTGGGAACAATAGTGCATGCCCTGGGGTTACCAGGCACACTGTAGGCTCTCAGCAGATGTCACCCATCTCTGCCTCCTAGCTGTGCCCCATGTTGCAGCCAGATGGGGGGCTGTATGGGGACAGCTGGTATTGTCAACCCAAATCCCTGTTGGTCAGTGCAGAGGCCTCTTGCTGTTGAAAGAGTTGGTCTAGCCTAGTGACTGGAGAGTAGGTCTGGGGTGACAGCCTCAGAACCTTGCTCTGCCCCTGCCAGCTTTGAAACTTGGTTCAGTTGCATGATTTCTGTGGGCCCCCAGTGCAACATGGGGGATCACCTCATTGGGTTGCTTCCCTGGGGAAATGAGAAGGGAGAGTGGACTCCAAGCCCTGGGACAGTGTCCACCTCAGAGTGTCCAGTAAATGCCACTGATTGTCAATATAATTATAAGTAAATTAGCATATACTGTCTGTATGATTGCTTAATAAATGTTATTAGTGTAAGTAAGGATGACACACCCACTTCAAATTGGTCTTTAAAAGCCCGAGTCCACTTGCTGTGCCGAAAAGAACAAAAATCTCTCAAGCGATTCTACAGGGCGGGTTCCACCAAGGGCGGGTGCAGATGCCCCAGCCTGGCGGCTTCCTGAGCCACGCTGGGGAGTGACCTGGGTGTCTGGGATTTCCCGGTGACCTCCTGAGGTCAGCCTGCCTTCCTGCTCACACCAGAGGCCTGTGACCTCTGCCAGGGCGGCCTGGTCCGGCCACTGACCCTCTTCTCTCTTTCTCCACTCTCTGTGCCAGGTGGAAAGGATCGTGGACAAGAGGAAGAACAAGAAGGGCAAGTGGGAGTACCTCATCCGATGGAAAGGCTATGGCAGCGCCGAGGACACCTGGGAGCCCGAGCACCACCTGCTGCACTGCGAGGAGTTCATCGACGAGTTCAACGGGCTGCCCGTGCCCCGGGACAAGCGCGCCAAGGCTGGGAAGCAGCCGGGCGCCGGCAAGCTCCTGCGCGACAGCCGCGGCCCTGGCGACAAGCTGGCCCCGCGGCCTGCAGAGCCCGGCAAGAGCAAGGCGGCCTCGCACAAGCGGAAGCGCATCAACCCTCCGCTGGCCAAGCCCAAGAAAGGGTGCGCAGGCAAGTCCCCCGGGCCGGGGGGCGATAGGGCCGCCAAGACCGTGTCCTATCGGACTACCCCTAGTGGCTTGCAAATCATACCCCTGAAGAAGGCTCAGAACGGCCTGGAGAACGGGAACGGGGACGGGGACGGCGGCTCCGAGAAGGACGAGAGGCACTTTGGGAACGGGTCCCTTCAGCCTGATGTGGATTTGGATGACCCGGTTGGAGAGCAGGATGCTGTGGACTGCGACGGGACCCACTCCGTGCTGGTGGAGAACGGGCTCGGTGGGTGCTTTACTTTCTCTTGGGTTTGGCACCCGCCTGGGTGGAGGGTTTTGCTTGGGTTTCACTGCAGCCTAGGGAAACACCAAGAGCCCATCCTTGACTCTTGGCCACTGTGCTTCTCCCTCCTCTCACTGGGGCCCCACAGACGTGGCTGCCTGCCCACCTGGCGACAGACAGCTTTACCCTGGGGAGGCCAGGCCTGGCTGTGGCTCTGCTGAGGCTTGGAATGAACTGTTAATTCCCGACTGTGCTGCAGGGCAACATCTACATCCGTGTCCCTGCCTGCAGTGCAGAGTTCCCACACCCCAGGACCCAGGTCTTGTGTCCCCAGAGGTCTGGCCCCAGGCAGAGGCCATGCTTGCAGCCTCACCAGGGCCTGGCAGTGTAGGGGCCTGGGCTGGGGCTGCTCTTCTTTCTTAGACCCATTTGAATGTGGAGTTCACCAAGCCAGTGTGTCACCTGGAACTTCTTCCTCTCGGTGTTATTGGGTAGGTGATTAGTCTCATTTCTATGCTAGGTCGTAGCCATTCAGGAAAATTTATAAACAACAGAAATCTGTTCCAAAGTTCTAGAGCCTGGGAAGTCTGAGATTGGGGCGCTGGTGGAGATGGCGCTCACCTCTTAAGGCCCCCTTCTAGATGCTGTTGCACTGGGGTTAGGTTTCAGCATGTGAGTGGGGGCCACAGCGTGCAGACCATAGCAGGCCTCACATGCTGCCCTGAGGCCCTGTGCTGGTTGCGCTGGCTGGCACCTTCTTGCTCCATCCCGGAGCAACACTAGGTTGGGTTAGGAATTGCTCCCTTCTGCTCCGTCAAAGGCAAAATTAAAGAAAAAGAAGGCAATGGCCGGGGAATTCAGTCTTCCAAACCTGACATTTCCTTACTAGTCAGATTGCTCCTTGACCGAGTCCTTAGTGGCCTGCGTTTTTCTGGGAAGCCGTTATGCCCACACCCTCACCCCTCAGACACCTTGTCTGCCTGCTGGCCGTTTTCTCCTTGGCTGTCAAAGCCCTAGGCCTTGGGACGGCAGGAGATTCTGTGTGTCATGGCCAGTCTGTGCCCATCAGAGCAGGGCCATCAGATGCCCTGGGTGGAACCAGAGTGGTAACAGGGATGCCAAGATGCAGGTGGCACTGCTGGAGGGGACGGCAAGGCAGATGCCTGTCAGGGCAGTGATGTGACTGGAGTTGGAGGGTTTGCTGCAGAGAGCGTGCTGTTCAGGGAGTCTCATTGGGGAATCGGAGCAATCGCTTTGAGGTTCATCTTTGTCCAGAGAGAGAAATTTCACCCAAACAGGATTTATTTAGCTGACTTTGTCCCAGACTGACTCATATTTCCGCTTGGGGATCCCTCATGCTGATGTGACTGTGCCTGCTAACATATGTAAGAGCTGTTTGTTTTAAACATTCATCTCTTGGGGAGAAGTGGGCTTGTGTAAATGAGGCTTGGCATAAACACCCATGTTTGATGTTCCCCGTGACAGCTGCCAGCAGTCGGAGCTCCCTGTTGCAGGAAGGGTGGCCAGGGGAGTTTCCGAGGCTCTGCGGGTGCAGGCGCAGGAGCTGGGCAGGATCCCCAGCACCCTGGCTCTTGGCAGCCCCTGGCCTGCGCAGAACACAGCTGCCCCAAGAGTAGGGAGAAGGCTGAGGGAGGGCAGTTTGCTGACCAGCTGCCAGAGTACGGTGTGAGGGAGAGCAGAAGGTGGCTTCTCGTCCTCTGCCACTCTCCCAAAGTGGGTGGAGCCACTAGCCATTTATTCTCCACCCTTGGGTCTCACTGATGCTGACCTGGCCCATGATCTGACAATGGGCAGGGTATCCGTGACCAGGAGAACAAGGCAGAGCCTGGCCTGGTGAGACCCACGGGAGCCTGGCTAACTCAGAATGCTGTGTGAGACCTCCCTCATCCCTGGTCTCTTGGGTTCTCCACCCCATGGGCCCAAGCCTGGTGGAGAAGAGGAAGCTCCCCACCTCCTCTGTGTTCTGTTTCGGCTACTCTGAAAGGGCCTATTACTTACTACATCCCGTGGTACTGATGCCCATGAGATCCTCCCAAATGGTCGAGACCACGGTCTCAGATTCCATGTATGTTAGATGACCTGGCAGCTATGAGAAACACAGATTGCAGAGTGCCTGAGGACGAGTCTGGGATGGAGCCTGGGAGATGAGATGGACTTTTGGTGGGGGGGTACCTGGAATTGAACTCAGGGGCACTCGACCACTGAGCCACATCCCCGGCCCTATTTTGTATTTTATTAGTGCCTTGCTTTTGCTGAGGCTGGCTTTGAACTTACGATCCTCCTGCCTCAGCCTCCCCAGCCACTGGGATTATAGGCATGCGCCACTGTGCCCCGTGAGGTGGACTTTTAATAGGTGCCCACTGACTGTTGAATTCTGAGACATGCTCCGTGGCAAAATTGGGTGGCAAGGAAGTTTCACTTCAGGTGTCAATTTAATTTGATTTAATACTGATTTTTGAACACTTCCTCAGTATTAGTCACTGTGCTCAGTACTGACATAGCATAATAGAAAGGTAGGTACGGACTTCTCTCTCTGAAACTTACACCCTACTCTTCAGTAGGTTGGAGTGGCTGCCTGTGGTTCCATGTTGAGAAGGCACCTGAGGCTAACCCCACGGGAGGAGTGACATGTATATCACACACTTGGTCTGCCTTTACTACACCCATATTAATGTCATCTGTGGCCATTGGCACAATTAACGTCCCAGCCGCTGTCAGCCTTTAACACTCTAGTTAGAACTGCCTTTTTATCCAGGTCTTGGGGGACTGGGGAGAGGTAAACTCTGGGAATCCTTGCTAGAGATGGAAGGGTAGATTCAAAGAGCAGTTAGTTGTTCTTGGACAAGACTCATAACAAAGGTGGTGCTGTGGTTCTAGAACTTTCTATCAAAGAGTTAGAGGTGTATTGAAACAAACCATGGCTCCACTTAGATTTTCATCCAGAGGGAAGCTTTGATGAAGGCAATGTCCATGCCTAGGTGGAGCCCTGAATGACCTCCTCCTAACCCCTTGCCTAACCCCACCTTCCTGGACCTGGCCCAGGGATCTGGTTCCCAGTGGCCCAGGGGGCACGGGGTCTGTGGCACCAGAGGCGGCTCTGCGCTGCCTGCTGCCCTGGCATGGTGTGTGCTCTGGGGTGGGCTATTGCTTTCATGTGTGTTAACTCCCTTGGGGAGTTGAGGTCCTGCATGCAGACAGCGGCTTATGTAACAGCGCTTCCCGCCGACTGCTGACTCCCCTGATCTGCTCCAGGGGAACAACTGCTAAATCCGGGCTCCAGTGGGTGCTGTTTTGGTTCCAGGCTGCGTTTTCCCCCAGCAGTGTTTGTGAAGTTTATGCGGCAGCTCAGAACGGCTCTTGATTCTGCTTCTTCTCTGGGAATGACAAATGACTGTGTGGTCCCCAGACCATCTGCCTCAGTAGCCCTCGGGGAGCTTGTTAAAATGGGCTACACCCTGATCACATGAACTGGGGTCTCAGGGGGCAGGGTGTGAGTTAACCGCATTAAATGCTGATTTTTAACAGCGTCAGGTGTGGACACGGAGGTATTTGATGGTGAGCGACGGTCATAGCTCTGTTTGTTGGTCCATCTGAGTTACTGCCTGGATTTTAATTTTCTAAGTAGGAATGTGATTTGGTCCTTCAAAGATTTAAGACCTGAGCTTCTCCCCCTTGCTGGTGCACTTCCTATGAGGGCTGTCTTTCTGGGACAGACGGGGTCCTCTGTGGAAGAGCTGCTGGGTTAGTCTGCCCCTCCCATTCTGTGCAGAACTGCCTGCCCTCTCTTGTCTCAAGGGCCAAAGCCTGTAGGCTTTGCAGCGTCGCGTGAGCCTTGTACCTGTAGAAACATCCGTTTCCCTTCGAGCCCTGGAATGGTGCACAGAACCCCAGGGTTCTCCAAGTGACCACAGAGTCCACGAGCAGCCTGCTAACACAGAGCCCTGTGGCCCCACATCCATTTTTTTTTATTTCTGCTGATCTTTTCATTGTGCCGGGCGCCATGCTCTGCCACCCAGGCCTTGTACCTCAGACCTGGCACAGTTCAGTGCTGTCAGGGTCATTCCTGCCATCAAACCGGTCATCCCGCAGACACACGGCACTTGTTCTCTCCATTGGGTTTTTAATTGATCCCAGCCTTCACTATGAAGCGCTCCCTGCCCACTTGCAGCATGTCTCCAAGGACGACGGCAATACAGAGCCATGTCTTCAAGCGCCCGGCACTGAGCACTAGCAGGGCAAACGCCCCACGACTCTGGAGACCTCAGGCCTCTCAGACCCCCAGAGAGGGTGAGGGCAGCCTTGTGGCAGGCAGCCTGGGCATCTGTACTTCTAGCCAGTTCTCAGGTGCCACCCACTTTAGAGCCACTGTCCCAGACCCCTGAGCTCCAGGGTGGTTAAGATGGAAGCGCAGAGGGTTGTGGATGCTGGTTGGCTCCTGGGAGAGCTGAGGTGCCCGTGCTGCAGACCTGGGGCTTCTGAAGCCAAAGTTGGAAGGAAGGCAGAGGTTTGGTGGGTGGGAACTCCCCCGAGATCAGGCTCTGGAGTTCACAGCGCCCTCTGTGAGCCTCGGCAGTCCTGGGAGGGGGCTCTTGTTCTGCCTGTTTTACAGAGGTGGAGACCGAGGTTCTGAGTCTCAGGCTGGGATCAGGAGAGAGACCCAGGTGGTCTGACTGCAGGGCTGACTCTGAACCACCGTCCAGCCGGCTCCTGGGAAGTAAAAAGTTAATTCCCAAGCCTGGGGCACAGAGTGCTGTGGGATAAGAGCTGCGGCTTGGACAGCCTCCTCACTTAGTGATGGGGCGGGGGGTGCATAATCCTGAGCCTGAGACCCTGGAACGAACTCCGGGCCACTGAACTTGAAAATCTGGAAAAATACACCGAACAAGATTGAATCGCCGTTACAAAGCTCTCGGGAGTCCAGAAAGAAGAAGCCCAAGACCGGCTGGTTTTAGAGGCAAGTCCAAAGGTTCTAGAACAAGTAA